AAATCCTTAAAATTTTGAAAGAAAATTAAATTATTTTCCGGAAAGAGGCAGGCCCATTTAAAATTTTGAAAATCCTTAAAATCCTTAAAATCCTTAAAATTTTGAAAGGTTGGGGCTTTCAAAATTTTAAGGATTTTAAGGAATTTAACGCCTTTTAAATTTCTTAAAATCCTTAAAATCCTTAAAATGTTGAAAGAAAATTAAATTATTTTCCGGAAAGAGGCAGGCCCATTTAAAATTTTAAAAATCCTTAAAATCCTGAAAATCCTTAAAATTTTGAAAGCCCGGGCCTTTCAAAATTTTAAGGATTTTAAGGAATTTAAGGCCTTTTAAATTTCTTAAAATCCTGAAAATCCTTAAAATCCTTAAAAGTTTGAAAGAAAATTAAATCATTTTCCGGAAAGAGGCAGGCCCATTTAAAATCTTAAAAATCCTTAAAATCCTGAAAATCCTTAAAATTTTGAAAGCCCGGGCCTTTCAAAATTTTAAGGATTTTAAGGAATTTAAGGCCTTTTAATTTCTTAAAATCCTTAAAATCCTTAAAATTTTGAAAGAAAATTAAATTATTTTCCGGAAAGAGGCAGGCCCATTTAAAATTTTCAAAATCCTTAAAATCCTTAAAATTTTGAAAGCCCAGGCCTTTCAAAATTTTAAGGATTTTAAGGAATTTAAGGCTTTTTAAATTTCTTAAAATCCTTAAAATCCTTAAAATCCTGAAAATTTTGAAAGCCCCAACCTTTCAAAATTTTAAGGATTTTAAGGATTTTAAGGATTTTTAAAATTTTAAATGGGCCTGCCTCTTTCCGGAAAATAATTTAATTTTCTTTCAAAATTTTAAGGATTTTAAGGATTTTAAGGATTTTAATTTTAAAAGGCCTTAAATTCCTTAAAATCCTTAAAATTTTGAAAGGCCCGGGCTTTCAAAATTTTAAGGATTTTAAGGATTTTAAGGATTTTTAAAATTTTAAATGGGCCTGCCTCTTTCCGGAAAATGATTTAATTTTCTTTCAAAATTTTAAGGATTTTAAGGATTTTAAGGATTTTAAGAAATTTAAAAGGCCTTAAATTCCTTAAAGTCCTTAAAATTTTGAAAGGCCCGGGCTTTCAAAATTTTAAGGATTTTAAGGATTTTAAGGATTTTAAGGATTTTTAAAATTTTAAATGGGCCTGCCTCTTTCCGGAAAATGATTTAATTTTCTTCCAAAATTTTAAGGATTTTAAGGATTTTAAGAAATTTAAAAGGCCTTAAATTCCTTAAAATCCTTAAAATTTTGAAAGGCCCGGGCTTTCAAAATTTTAAGGATTTTAAGGATTTTAAGGATTTTAAAATTTTAAATGGGCCTGCCTCTTTCCGGAAAATATTTTAATTTTCTTTCAAAATTTTAAGGATTTTAAGGATTTTCAGGATTTTAAGAAAGAAATTTAAAAGGCCTTAAATTCCTTAAAATCCTTAAAATTTTGAAAGCCCCAACCTTTCAAAATTTTAAGGATTTTAAGGATTTTTAAAATTTTAAATGGGCCTGCCTCTTTCCGGAAAATAATTGAATTTTCTTTCAAAATTTTAAGGATTTTAAGGATTTTAAGAAATTTAAAAAGCCTTAAATTCCTTAAAATCCTTAAAATTTTGAAAGGCCTGGGCTTTCAAAATTTTAAGGATTTTAAGGATTTTTAAAATTTTAAATGGGCCTGCCTCTTTCCGGAAAATAATTTAGTTTTCTTTCAAAATTTTAAGGATTTTAAAGATTTTAAGAAATTTAAAAGGCGTTAAATTCCTTAAAATCCTTAAAATTTTGAAAGCCCCAACCTTTCAAAATTTTAAGGATTTTAAGGATTTTAAGGGTTTTTAAAATTTTAAATGGGCCTGCCTCTTTCCGGAAAATAATTTAATTTTCTTTCAAAATTTTAAGGATTTTAAGGATTTTCAGGATTTTAATTAATTTAAAAGGCCTTAAATTCCTTAAAATCCTTAAAATTTTGAATGGCCCGGGCTTTCAAAATTTTAAGGATTTTGAGGATTTTAAGGATTTTTAAAATTTTAAATGGGCCTGCCTCTTTCCGGAAAATAATTTAATTTTCTTTCAAAATTTTAAGGATTTTAAGGGTTTTAAGGATTTTAAGAAATTTAAAAGGCCTTAAATTCCTTAAAATCCTTAAAATTTTGAAAGGTCCGGGCTTTCAAAATTTTAAGGATTTTGTGGTCCTTTTAAAATTTTGGAAAACCCCTAAATTCCTTAAAATCCTTAAAGTTTTGGAAGGCGAAGCAGGACCGTCAAATAACGCATAAAGGTCCTACATACATCCTCCTATAGATAGGATCCTCTTCGTCTCACAAACCATATTCAGGAGAGACTTTTCTGAGGAACCTCAGGCCTACTACATAGTCAAGATATGCGCTCAGGACATGCATAGCTTCGGGCTTCTAAGGGTTTAGGGTTTAGGGTTGGGGTTTAGGGTCTAGGGTTTAGGGTTTGGGGTTTAGGGTTTAGGGTTTAGGGTTTAGGTAGCAACATGTGGTTGAAGCCTCACTTGCAGTCGGTTTGCTAAGACGCGGCACCCTTCGGGCTGCGGGTAGTGGAGAATTGGGGTCCTAAACCCTAAACCCTAACCCCTAAACCCTATACCCTAAACCTTAAACCCTGTAGATTGGCATAACCGCCAACATGCTCTGAAGCGATACGGCCTACCCTTTTGGGCGGCTTGAGAGTTTTGTTCCCACCTCACCCCCGTGCACGCAACAGGATTGCGCTGCACACATCGGAGGGAACGCGCCGGTCTTAAGGGAAACCGGCACAGGACTGTTGCAGAAACGCAAACGTGATTGAGGAAGCACATAACTTCTACACCCCCCTCTTCAGAGATTACGTTCTGCTGGCATGGCACGTCTGTCTCATGGCCCGGAGGTGTGAGCCACCTTGCCCCCGTAGTTAGGCGCTCATGAGTTACAGACAACTTCTTTGCGCAGCCACGTTTGTGACTGGTCCGAGCTTTTGACTACTCGGGCGGCATGTGAGAGCTTACTGCCCCCCTCACTTGGGCAAGCGCGTGAGAGCTTACTGCCCCCCTCACTTGGGCAAGCGCGTGAGAGTTTACTGCCCCCCTCACTTGGGCAAACGCGTGAGAGTTTACGGCCCCCCTCACTTGGGCAAGCGCGTGAGAGTTTACTGCCCCCCTCACTTGGGCAAGCGCGTGAGAGTTTACGGCCCCCCTCACTTGGGCAAGCGCGTGAGAGTTTACTGCCCCCCTCACTTGGGCAAGCGCGTGAGAGTTTACGGCCCCCCTCACTTGGGCAAGCGCGTGAGAGTTTACGGCCCCCCTCACTTGGGCAAGCGGCCTCACAGCTGCATGAAGCGAGCTCATGCGGCTGATAACCTGTGTGTTGGCATAACCGCCAACATGCTCTGAAGCGATACGGCCTACCCTTTTGGGCGGCTTGAGAGTTTTGTTCCCACCTCACCCCCGTGCATGCAACAGGATTGCGCTGCACACATCGGAGGGAACGCGCCGGTCTTAAGGGAAACCGGCACAGGACTGTTGCAGAAACGCAAACGTGATTGAGGAAGCACATAACTTCTACAAACCCTATCGGAGACCAAAGCCTTTTTCCCTTAAAGCTGTTCTTGCCCTTAGCATCCTCGGAGCCTCATAATAAAGACGTAAGAGGGTATAACACGGGTTTAGGGTTCAGGGTTCAGCGTTTAGGGTTCAGGGTTTAGAGTTTAGGAATAACAAGGGTGCCCCTTTTCATTCAACATGTATGTGGTTTCTTGATTCCTAGGACCCAGAAGAGGCCCTTATTCCCTTGTTTGAGGGTTTGGTCCCTTTATAAGCCCCTTTAAATTAAACCAAAAAGGGCACCCTGTTTATTCCTAAATCCTAAACCCTAAACCCTCAACCCTAAACCCTAAGCCCTAATAATAATTCTCCATGGGGACGAAAGGAGGAACTCCGCGTTTCCCAACTCCCGAACACCGTTGTGAGGAACCGGGCCGTTTTCGAGTTCATGGCCTCCTTCAAGCTAGGGTCTAGGGTCTAGGGTTTAGGGTTTAGGGTTTGGGGTTTAGGGTTTAGGGTTTAGGGTTTAGGGTTTGGGGTTTAGGGTTTAGGGTTTAGGGTTTAGGGTTCAGAGGGGCTCTCGAAGGAACCCACATAAATGCGGCCGGGTGTCCGGTGGGCAGAGCCGGTTCCAGATGAACTTTGCTGAGGAGCTGTTCCTTTCAGTCTAAGATCTAGGGGTTTAGGGTTTAGGGTTTAGGGTTTAGGGTTTAGGGTTTAGGGTTTAGGGTTTAGGGTTTAGGGTTTAGGGTTTAGGGTCTTTTTGAGGATCCGTGCGGGGCCGTTCCTTTCCGTCTAGGGTTCTACCTTGGACACCTAAGGTTGTACCCGTGGGTTTTGGGGTACGTTCAAGGATCCCAAAGGGAATATGAGGGCCATTTTGGGAGTATATTAAGGGGAACCGTCAGGGGTACAACCTTAGGGGTAGGAGTCTTCATCCCTTGATACGAGGGCTGCGCAACACTTTAAACCCTAAAGTGAACCCTTCTGGGGGTGAAGGCGGGAATTCCAAAAGGTACAAACGACGTGTCGTATAGGCCTGCATCACTGTGTACATATATATTATATATATATATATACATGTGTATATGTGCTTTCTTTTTGTCATGGCCACCCAGCCATGATCCACCTGTCTTTTTGGGTCACCCCCCCCCCCCCCCCCCCGAAAGGCTCCGTACTCTACTGCGTCAAGGAAGCCCCGCCCCCCCCCCCCCCCCTCCCCCGAATACTAGGGTTTGAAAATGTCATAAGATGGGGCCCCGTACTTAACCCTCCCAGTGTCAACCCAGGGCTTGCTCTTAGACCCTCTAGAGTTTCCAAGGTCCCTGGAGGTTTTTGGGTTTAAGTTCTTTTTTTGTGTTGGGGCAGTCTTTTTTTCTGGGGAGGGGGGCAGAAAGCCCCCAGGTGTGAAAACTTCATCATTGATTTGGCACTTGAGTTTTTTGGGGTTAAATCGATTGCTTTCTGCCCAGCTGCTCGTGGTAGTACCGGGTGTCGATGGCGGCAGCAAAGAGGTTGTGCGCCGCCGTGATGGCGTGAATGTCACCCGTCATGTGGAGATTGAAATCCTGGTAGGCAAGGGCCCTTATGGGAGAGGAGTCCTCTTGGGTTTCATATGAACAAAAAATAATAATTCTCAAGGGGGATATAGGGATAGGTTAGGGAAGCTTCGGGAAGCCTGCCCCCCCCCCCCCCCCCCCGGGCCTCCATAGGGAAGCACTGGGCGTATCCGCCTCCAGCAGCGCCTCCCTGAAGTCGGGTGCTTGGTGTAGGGTCTTGGGTTTGGGGTTTGGGGTTTTGGGGTTTAGGGTTTAGGGTTTAGGGTTGGGGGTTTAGGGTTTAGGGTTTGGGGTTTAGGGTTTAGGGTTGGGGGTTTAGGGTTTAGGGTTTCAGGGCTACAGGAGGGGTTTGGAGTTTAGGGCTTAGGGGGTTTCCATGGCGGTTGGATGTGGGGCCGTGACATGTTTTTGATTTTTGCGGGGAGGGCGGGGGGAGGGGGTTAGGGCTTGGGTTTGAAGGTTTAAGGCTTAAGGTTTAAGGTTTAAGGCTTAAGGCTTAAGGCTTAAGGCTTAAGGTTCGGGCCACGGAAATGGAGTTGCAAAGATTAGGGTTTGGGTCATTTCGGCCTTTGGGGGGTGTTGACATCTGGGGGCTTAGGCTTCACAAGCCCTTCATGGTTTAGGGGCTCGCGGCTTAGGCTTTGGGGGAATAGGGCGGCCTCTGGAGGAAGCCCAAGAAGGGACCGCGTACCCTATACTATCTGCCCCTACTTCTCTACACCTTCTCAACGCCCTTCCTAGGGGATAACCTGACGAATGTTCACCTCAGATGTATAAACCTCAATTAAGGAGCCCCGGTCCGTGGCCCGATTCCTTTTTCTATGGACCCTTTTTTTTGGGTGGGTCAGGGCTTGGGGGCGGCTCGGGACACCCCCCCCCCCTCAATACAAATTCAATTGAGACGGGGAGGGGAGGGGGACCCCTCCCTTCTCCAGGATACTTTATAAGGGCCCCTCCGTCAGTCTGATCGGCAGCAAATCGCAGCCGGCTCAGAGATCGATGTTCAAACGCCCCGGGGGTTTAGGGTTTGTAGGGATTCGGGACTACCTTAGGGTTTCGACACTCTGCAATGAGGGGTTTTGCGGCTCAAGGCGTTAGGGGGGCAAGCCTCCAAGTCCTGCAGCCTGAACCTCTCCCCCAAAACAACAAAACGCAGCCAGAACACCCAAAAGCCCCGAACCGGTTTAGGGTTTAGGGTTTGGGGTTTGGGGTTTGGGGTTTGGGGTTTGGCATTTGAGGTTTAGGGTTTAGGGTTTAGGGTTTGGGGTTTGGGGTTTGGGGTTTGGGGTTTGGGGTTTTGAAATCCTTCTGATCCTTCTGGACCGCAAGAGGCCGCCTTGATCCCGAAGGTCGGACCCATGGAGGGCTGGCGGATGTTCGTCAGCACCTGTTGATATGGGAGGTTTCCCACAAGCTGCGGGCACCCCATACACCCTAAGCACCAAACCCTAAACCCTTACCCGGGGGGGGGGGGGGGGGGGGTGGGAAGGGGCTCTTAGACTCTGATCTTCTTGAGGAGTAGAGCGTGTAAATTTTGGGTCACAGACCTCAGGGGCAGCCGTACTTTGCGATTTGGGATAGGACGAGCTCAAAGTTGGGGGTGTTGAGGTGTGGACTGCAGGACGTGTGGGGTTTAGGGTTTAGGGTTTGAGCTTCAGGGTGCGCATGGGCAGGATTCGTGCTGGTTCGTATCATCCTCCGACAAAAAAGAGGCAGCCATGAGGAGACAAAGGCCAACCAGGGGCTTGCACCATGCTTGCCGTGATTGGAAATGTTGCTGTGCTTCTCCGATTGTCTCGGGCCCTACACCCTACAAACCCTACACCCTGAGCCCTAAACCCTAAACCTTCAACCGATCTCCCCTGAAAAAGTCGACAGCCCACCCTGAACGGTGATTAGACCCTGGGCCACCCCTAAGCCTAATCATCAGGGCTTCAAGGCTTATGGAAAACCGGCTTAGCCCCGACGATTAAGCCCTAAAACCCTAAGCCCTAAACACCAAAACCCTACACCCTAACCCTAAACCTAAACCCTAAACCCTAAACCCTAAACCCTAAACCCTAAACCCTAAACCCTAAACCCTAAACCCTTTCGAGGGGGGGGGGGGGGGTGGTGCAGGGAACCCGTGATCCTCCCCACCTTCTGGCCCAGGTGGGCACCCAATGCCTGGGAGAGACCCACGGTGGTCGTGGACTTGCCTGTTTAGGGTTTAGGGTTTAGGGTTTAGGGTTTAGGGTTTAGGGTTTAGGGTTTAGGGTTTAGGGTTTAGGGTTTAGGGTTTAGGGTTTAGGGTGCCTCCCAAGTCCCCCCCCGGCTCCCCCGGGCATCTTTGGGGCTTCGGGGTCGTAGGGTTTAGGGCTTGGGGTGTAGGGTTTAGGGTTTAGGGTTTAGGGTTTAGGGTTTAGGACTTAGGGTTTAGGGTTTAGGGTCTGGGGCTTGGGGTTTCGGGGTTGAGGCTTTGGGGTTGAGGGTTTTCCGGGCTTCAGTCTTGGGATGCGGATCACACATCAACTCAAGCTTCTAACCCTAAACCGCTCTCCAGCAACTGCAGCTCCGAACCTTCCGCAGAAAGTATAGGGTTTCGGGTTTCGGGTTTCGGGTTTAGGGTTCAGGGTCTAGGGTTTAGGGTTTAGGGTCTAGGGTTTCTAAACCCTGAACTTCCTCAACCCTCAACCCGAAACCCTAAACTCCCCTAAACCCGGACCCGACCCCCCGTCGTCGCGCCTTCGCCCAGAGGGGTCGGGTTGATGCCGCAGACCACGACGTAGTGGCCTAGGGTTTAGGGTTTAGGGTTTAGGGTTTAGGGTTTAGGGTTTAGGGTTTAGGGTTTAGGGTTTAGGGTTTAGGGTTTAGGGTTTAGTCGAGTTTTCGAGTTTTAGGGTTTTCGGGTTTTAGGGTTTTAAGGTGTTACGGTTTAGGGTTTAGGGTTTGGGGACTTTGACGCTCGACATATTATGAAAGATGAGCATCCTTCCACCAGAAGGCCCGAGCCCCTAAACCCTACACCCTAAACCCTATACCCCAAACCTGTAAACCCCCAACCCTATACCCTAAACCCTAGACCCTTAGCCCTAGACCCCAAACCCTAGACCCCACCCCCAAACATCCCCGATGCTCCAAAAACCCTGAAGCCACGAAACGAAAACCTGCAAAACCCTGAAGACTGGGGTTTAGGGTCCAGGGTTTAGGGTTTGGGGTTTGGGGTTTTAGGGTTCTGGAAGTTCTGGGCCCCAGGGGAACCTAGGAAAGAAAAAAGAGGTGCCGCTTCTGCTGGTTTAAGGAGGCTATTAAGGGAACCTGAACCCCCCTGAAAACCCCTAAAACCCCCCTAAACACCCCCTGAACTCCAAGTTTGCCCACAGGGTCCCTCTTTGTAGCCTCTTCATCATGGGCTCCTCTATAGGCGATTTCGGGAATTAAGCCTATTAAGGTTATTGAAGGGGGAACCTCGGGGGTAGAAAAGGCGGGGGGTGGGGGGGGTGGGGGGGTTAGGTAGTAGGGAAATCCATGACTTCAAAGCCAGGTTGATGATCCTCGCGGGGTGTCAGACTCCCTCCGGATGTTCGCACAGATGCCCAGAAGCTCCCCTCTTAGGGGCTCTGAAACCATCTGCTTCAAAAACTTGTTTGGCTCCCCACAGATGGCACGCCTCATCGGAAGAGCTGCCCAAAACCCCAAACCCCAAAACCCTAGACGCAAAACTTAAAACCCTGAACCCTAAACCCTGAACCCTAAAACCCTAAACCCTAAAACCCTAAACCCTAAGCCCTGAAACCCTGAAAACCTAAACCGCTCCAAAACGCCCAGGGGCCGTTGGGTTTGTCTTTGAGTCGGTCCCAGATGTTTAAGTTGATCTTCCCCTTGTAGGGCCCGTAGGAGAAGACGTCCTGGCAACTGCAAGCCGGGGAATTCTTCGGAAGCCTAAACCCTAAACCCTGAACCCTGAACCCTGAACCCTGAACCCTGAACCCTAAACCTTATAAACCCTGAACCCTGAACCCTGAACCCTAAACCTTATAAACCCTAAACCCTAAACCCTAAACCCTATATAAACCCTAAACCCTAAACCCTCGGAGGATTGCTGCGGGATTGCAGGCTTAAGGGTTTTCGTGCGCCGGGGCTCCGCCCTATTGCTTCGCGGCCCCTCTCTTCCCCCCTAAACGACCCCGGGACCAGCACTGGGCACTACGGGGGGATCAACACCGAGCTGGCTTAGGGTTTAGGGTTTAGGGTTTAGGGTTTAGGGTTTAGGGTTTAGGGTTTAGGGTTTAGGGTTTAGGGTTTAGGGTTTTAGGGTTTAGGGGCTAAGGGTTTAGGGTTTTAGGGTTTCGGGTTTAGGGTTATTGGGTTCAGGGACTCTTGTTGCTGCTTTGATGCCTGTGTGTCTCGATTCGTTTGCGCTAGGGCCCAAGCTTCTTGGTTGAGGTTGAGAAGGTTCGGGTCTCAGGTTTGCAGGGCTTTCAAGGCCTTTGGGTGTCTAGGAGGGTTCGTTGCTGAGATGCATGGTCTGGAACGTACTTCTGTTGCACCGTCCGAACAGCCAACAACAGCAGCCAAAGAAACCGTGCACCCTGCAGAGGGATACTCCTTTCAAGGGGGCGAACGGACAGAGTTAGAAGGGACCCATTAGCTTAGTAGCCCGGTAACCATATTACAATAAGGGCACCATTTTTCGGGGTGGTTACTTATAAGGAACCCAGAACTTAAAAAAACAAATAAAGGGTACCACTGGGCTACCAACTAACTTGGCTGCACTTAGGAGGGTAGTAAAAAATTCAACTTTTAGCTGCCTTACTAAGAAACCCAATAAACCCCAAAAAGCTAAAGATCTAAAGTTACAGTAAAGCACTACAAAGTTTTTAAAAAAAAAAATGAATCAAGGGTACCAC